TACCATTCTTTCTAAGCACATTTCATTTGACTTTTAAGCTTTTATGCAATAATTAAATATTTAAGGAATAACATTGATTCTGAAATAATTTAAATAAAATATATGTTCTATAACTTATTAAATAAACTATATATAATTTAATAAGTTGTTATTAATAAAATAATATATTTAAATGAAATATAGACATTTAATACTAAAATAATTATAAATTAAACTAAAATGCATTTTGTGCACTATTAATACGTTTTTATACTTCTATTGCATATTATTGAAATTTTTTGTTTATTTTTGCGTAAATAATTGTAACCAATATAACCGCCCGGCCTATCAAAGTGAATTATATTATATTATTATTATATTTACGTTGTTAGGTATCAGTGATTGGCTTATTTTAATATTCACTGTTATTTGAACCAATCGGGTTTTAAATTAGAAAAAAGTAAGGTTGACAGATGTCAGATTTATTTATATATATGAGGGACGACTATAAGGATCTTTAAAATAGGATAAAAGTGAGGTTATAATAAATTTTGTTATCAATGAAAATTACTTAATTGAAGTAGAAAAACATAGTATTACACTCGAAATAATGCGCATTATTTACTCGGATGAATTACGTATCTCGCCTGACGGCTCGACATGCAAACCTTATCCTTTTGAATAATAGCCTGCATTATCTCTCGTATAATAAATAATAATATACTATCATCAACATTTTAGTTTTCATTACTTGTTTTATGAAATATCTGCCCAATACCAACTTATTTCAATGTATAAAATTCCAATAAAATATGGAAACGGCATAAATTTATAATTATTATAATAATTTAACTTGGTATTCCCAAAGGCTCTAAGTGTCAAAAATAAAATTGTGAGAAATCAATGAAAATCCATCCATCTTTAAAATACAAAAATAATATGGAGAAAATTTTTTTAGTCGTTTTGCATGGCACATAGACTATTTTTAAATTATAATATAATATTTGACCAAATTTGGTCCAAACCCTTTGGGAATGCCATGCTTCAACTATAATTGAGGAGCATCCGTGCAAAACCGGCTAAATACATTTTATTCAGTTTTTGTTTTTTTTTTTATTTCGCATCTTTGGGTTCATTTCTATCGACAACCAAGATAATTCTGTTTAAATCCGACTACATCCATGTTAAAATCACATTTAAAAGGTAGCTTTAGGAGCAAAACTGGCCAAATCCACGCTTTTATAGCAAACCCGGCTATATCCAATAAATAATAATGATGATGAGCATGTGGCTTGGATATGTCGATACTACTAATAAAATTTGTTCTGTTTTTTCATGTTTGCACTAAATTTATTTTGTTAATATTTTTGAATAATAAAGGTTTTTTTTTCACATTTTATTCGTTTTTTATTCGGTTTTTGAGCAAAACCGGCTATATACAAAACATTTTTTGAAATTTTGGCCTTAATATAAAGTTTTTGAAAACGAAAGTATGTCTTATAAATCAAGTACCACAAAAGTCAGATAAGAGGGCAGAGTAATAAATTTGCCCACAAAACTCAAGTTTGCTTTTTCTTTTATCTGTAAAGGCCAGGAAACCGAGAGTTTTTGCCATTTTATTAAAGTGGATATAGCCGGTTTTGCACGGATTCTCCTCAATTATTAATGTAATTATTTACCATTTCTTTTTAAATAAAAAGGCAGCTTTCTTTGCTCATGGTTTTAGATAATATTTTCCTAAAAAAGGGTCCTACTAAATTTTACCATAAATTTTGTTTCGCTGAAAAAGTTTGAAAATCTTGAAAATTTCTATAAATTCAACTTTTACCTTGAATATCTTTTAAAAGAGCCCTACCAAAATTTGTTTCAGTTTTACTAATCCGAGTTAAATTATTTTAAAGTATTTTAAAAAAATCTCATATTATTTTAATGGGAAATAAAAATTCCCGATGAAGGACCCGTAAATGTAATATTAAGAGCTTAAATTTTAACAGGACCATTTTTTTGAGATTCTGAACAATATTTTTGAGGTGCTTTAAAAATAAATATTCGATATTTTTTATCAAATATTAAAAAAATTGTCCTACATTTAAAATATTAATATAAAAAATTTAAAATATTAATATGAAAAAATAAGAATAAATGTTTATAAAACCATACAAAAATATATCAAAAAATTAACGATTTAATAAAAATACGTTAAATATGTAAAATACCCAAAATAATTAATTCAATACGAGCAGGTAGTAAATCCCTAAGAGGCAGATGTTTCCGAATGTCTCCGAACAATTACAATGGAGCATTCAAATGGACATTACTTCTTTCCGTAACTGTACATAGAAAAGGTGACAGTTTTAAGCAAGGTTTGTTGAATTTAACACTATAAACATATATTTTAGTGAAAGTTTGGTTTTTCCGCACCTAAATATGCTTAAAATGTGGTTTTATATCCATTTGTGTCGAAAATTTCCAATAAAAATTGGATTTTGAGAGTGTGCTATTGTGTACTGGAACCTTCAATTCTAATGGCTATCCTTTCATTTCCGGAATACCCCTCCAAAGCGCCACCCGTCAAGAATTAATTTACCTACAGAAAAAATTCAAAATAGGTAATTTAAGTAATTTATTTAATTCCATTTTAACACAACTTAACGACTTCTTGTATTTTAGCATCAAAACAACATCTCATGAATTCAATCATTCAATTACTTTTGGAAAATCATTTAAATTTGAACAAACTGTGAAAATAATGACAACACTCTTTTAGGTTACCAAAATGTACCGGCTGTACCCATTGTTTTACACAACGCATAAAAGGAAGATTTGATTACGTTAACTGGGTTGCCCAATATTTGGCAAATAATTATACAAAATAAATGACTTACTACAGTTTAAATTATTTTTATTAAAACCTCCATTTAAAAACCGTTACAATATATATATATATATATATATATATATACACATATAAACGGTCATTGTGCAGCCCATTCTATATACAAGCTATACTCTGTGTAGCCCGAAATGACTTTGTGTGGCCCACTCCCGGGCTGAACAACGTTTGACGTTATTTCAACGCTAATCGATTAATCACGGTGTTGGGAACCCCAGGTTAAATTTTTGGCAGGGCTTAACAACGACCGGTTTAGCCATAGTTACATACAGAATAGTTCATTGAATTTAACTGTAGGTGGCGCGCTTTAGTAAGTGTATCTAGAATAGGAATCCTAGATATCTTACGGTTCTTGTGTAGCCCTAAATCCGGCAACACTGCAAACACAAATTTTTCGTAGGAAGATATTATTTAATATCAAGCAGTGAGCAAAGTTTTAACGCTGCCGCGCGCTGTAAGTTCGATACCGCGACTTAGTCAGAGATTTATTCGAATACTTTTAATTGTTTTTATTACTTAATGTATTATAGAATGTGCACAATAAGCTTTATTTTTTATTAAAAATTCTTTTTTAAAAAATAAAAGGCAAAAAACATTAATTGTAAAAATTATTCAAAAGCTTTTACTGGTAGATACATACTTTATTAAGTTGTAATAAGCGTTTTAAATTTAATCACTTAATCAGACTTTATAACTTTTTTAGTTGAATGTTTTAAAAATAGAAATATTAAAATGTTTTACTAAAATTGGGCATATTTTTAATTAGAAATAATCCATAAGGTACACACTCTAATAATCCAAAATTTGAAGATAATTTTTTTTTATTATGTTGTAATAAGTGGATCAAATTTCAACAAAAAGACTTTATGTTTTTTTAGGAATTTAAAAAATTATCTAAACATGTCTAATTTGAAATATCTTTCGGAAAACATTATTTTATTGTGTTTTATTTAATATATTAGGCCTGTTAGAAGCAAATTAATTTGTACAATATAAAAAAATAAAATACGATGAAATTTTATTTTATTAATTTTAATGTGCTTATTTTAAAAATAGCCAAAATATTGCGATTAGTCCTCAATCGGGTAAATTTTTAATCAAAAACATTTCAGAAGGGATATACTATAGTATATCCCTGTTATAACAATTCCAAATTTTGCGATTTGTCCAAAATCGGGCTTTTTTAATCTAAAATATCTCAAAAGGTACTAACTTAAAATCTAACATTTTCAGAAAACATTTTTTTCATTTTGTTGTAATAAGTAATTTAAATTTTAATGAAATTATTTCATCAGTAGCACTTTATTATTTTTTTCTATTTTCTTATATACAAAATATTAATAAAATATAATAATAACATAACTATTATAATAAAAGCTTTTTGTTTAAAGCCAGTATTATTATTTTTTGAAAAACGCAGATTTTTGACAAAATTAATTAAAAATAATAAAAATTATTCCATCCTATCTTTTAAGTTTAAAACCAAATTTTTTTATATAAAGTTTAATTAAATCATATCTGGTAGGCAGTGGACTGTATGAATGTGAGAAATAGGGGATGGTGGTGTTAGTTGACTGAATTATGTTACAAGATAAAACGTGGGCAGTAAGAATATTAATAAAGTCCTACCTTGTGGCTGGTTCTGATGACGACACTCAGGGCCCTGGTCTGGTTTCTGGCTGTCAGCGTTGGTTTCAAGCGGTTGAGATGCACAAGCGGGATAAAGCGGGATTAAGCGGGATAAAGCGGGTATAATGTCGCGTGGTAGATCACTCTCGTTCGCGGTGATGCTTACGGGTCGAACTCTTATTAATTAATACACTTACGCCCTCACGCGGTCAAACAGGTAATTAAAATAATTGCAATAAACATGCGCGTTGGGGGGCAATAAGCTAAATATAATATTTAAATAAATGTAATAAAATTAAACAAATATTAAACATTTCGCGAAGACGAAACATTCTGGCGGCCATTAAAACCATGGGTTTTAAGCGAGAAAAAAAAACTAAAAATAAATTAAATTTGCGAATTTACAGTAAAACAAAATGTAAGCCCAAAAATTAAAATAAAAGAATATACCCCTCGGTATAAATAAACAAAATTAAACTTAAAAAAAGCGTTATGTAAATCATTGAAGATCGGCTTGCGGTAAAGGACACACTTTAACAACAGGTCGCTTAAAGGTGCCTAGGTTTGTTCGCACTGTAACAACCCTGACAACCCCGTCTTTACCGGGGTGAAGCGTTTCAACACGGCCAAGGCGCCATTGAAGGGGTGGCGAAAGCTCGTTCTTGAGGAGAACTACAGACCCCACCTTAATCGGACAAGACTCGGATGTCCATTTTATGCGCTGGGATAAGGTGTGGAGATATTCGGCATGCCAACGTGCCCAGAAGTCCTGGTGCATACGCTGCAACAGCTGCCAACGGGATAAGCGGTTTAGCGGAACGGATTGTAAATCGGGATCGGGAAGACATGATAAAGGTTCCAGAGTCAGAAAATGACCTGGTGTAAGGGCTCGAACATCATTGGGATCTACGGAAAATGAGCACAACGGTCTACTATTAAGGATAGCCTCAATTTGCGTTAACACAGTATAAAATTCTTCATAAGATAGAATTTGTTCACCAATGACTCTATAAAGATGTGTTTTGACCGATTTAACGCCAGCTTCCCACAAACCTCCGAAGTGCGGAGCAGAAGGAGGGTTAAAACTCCATTTGAGACTTTCAGAAGCAGCCGCGGTTTTAAAATAACTGAGAATTTGCTTATTTGCACCAACAAAATTGGTGCCACAATCGCTGAATATTTGAGAACATCTTCCGCGACGTGCAATAAAGCGGCGTAAGGCTGCAAGAAAGGCTTCGCTGGATAGGTCAGAAGCTAATTCTAAATGAATTGCCTTCGTGGCAAAACATATAAAAACACATATATAACCTTTTATTGTTCGAGTACCGCGGTTTTTACTCATTAGTAAAGAAAATGGGCCAGCGTAGTCTACGCCGACAACCGAAAAACATTTTAATTGCGAGATGCGTAGGGGTGGCAAATCCCCCATTTGAGGTTGCGGAGATTTTGGATTTAGTTTCCAGCATCTTAAACATTTTGAAGTTACTTTGCGTATGACTTGTTTTGAAGACAATATCCAAAAATTCTGTGCTAATAAATACTGCATTGTTTGAGTACCTGGATGTAAATGTTTATTATGCGTTTCCTGAACTAAAAGCTTGACAAAGCGGTGGTTACCAGGTAATAACGCGGGATGTTTTTGTTCAAAACTCAAATTCGAGTGTCGAAGCCGTCCCCCCACCCTAACAATATTGTTAGAGTCAAGAAAAATATTTAATTTGCGTAAGTATTTAGATACAGGGCGATGCTTTAATAGCGCAGAAATTTCGGCAGAAAAGTGAACTTTTTGTACATATTTTACAAAAACTAATAATGAATCATGTAATTCACTTTGAGTGAAAAAATCGGTGCGTTTTTTGTGAGCGGGTTTTGCGTTATTTATAAAGCGGAGAACATATGCGATAATGCGTTGTAATTTGTTTAGCGACGAATATTTATGAATTAATTTATCAAGAGGAGTTGTTTCAATAACATTAGCAAGCGTAATTTTGCGTTCCTCATGGCAGACCGCTAGCGTATTATCAACCGAATTTAACGTACGTGGCCACGACGATTCAGGCAGCTGAAGCCACGGCGGCCCCGTCCACCACAGTGCATGTGAAACGATTTCGGACGGCATTACACCACGGCTCGCACAATCTGCTGGGTTACAAAGAGTAGAGACATGTCTCCAATTTTCCGGCGCAACTTTACTTTGAATATGACTTACTCGATTGCCAACGAAAGTAAGCCAACGGTGCGGCGAGGATTTAATCCATGATAAAGCAATTGTAGAGTCGGACCAGGCATAAATATTCTCAAATGTTAATTTATTTTTATATGTTTCGTAAACATAATAAAGCAAATCGGCCAACAAAACAGCGGCACATAATTCCAAGCGTGGAACCGAGAGACGTTTAAGCGGTGCGACGCGCGATTTTGCGCATATTAAATAAATTTGCGCCTGGTCAGAATCATTTGGAGAGATGCGTAAATAAACAACAGCAGCGTAGGCTTTTTCGGAACCATCACAAAAGCCATGTAGTTGACAAGACTGAGTTAAAGCGGCAACAAAACGCGGGATAGAAACATTAGAAAGAAGCGGTAATTCAGATTTAAAGGTTTGCCATTTATTTAACACATCTGCGGGGGGTGGTTCATCCCAATCAAGCCCTAAGCTCCATAAATGTTGTACCAGATATTTAGCGGTTATTATGACGGGAGAAAGAAAGCCAACAACGTCAAAAATTCTTGCGATTTGTGATAAAATAGTGCGCTTTGTACAACTAGAATTTTGTTGCGGTTCAACCTGATATAGAAAACTATCAGTGGCGGAGTTCCACCGTAAACCAAGTATTTTTACGGTGGTTTCTTGTTCAAAATCACAAGAACCTACTTGTTTATACGATTCCGGTAGGTGCGCGAGTAACGCAGGACAGTTACTTGCCCATTTTCGCAGTTCAAAACCTCCTTTGCCTAAAATACTTATTAAATCGTTCTGTAGATTTTTAGCGTCATCCAACGTGGATCCGCCAGACACAATATCGTCGACGTACATGTCATTATTTAGAACATTTGCGGCGCGCGGAAAATCCCTGCCTTCGTCATTAGCTAACTGCTGGATAGTGCGAATAGCCAAAAATGGGCTAGAATTTACACCGTACGTTACAGTTAACAAGCGATAGGTAGAAACGGGATCCGTAGGCGAGAAGCGCCACAAAATTCTTTGAAAATCTTGATGACTTTTCGTAACTTCGATTTGACGGTACATTTGGCGAATATCGGCGGTAAAAGCGATTCGATTTAAGCGAAAATTAAGAAAAATTGACAGGAGGTCTTGCTGCAATTTTGGGCCAATCAAAAGAGCATCGTTAAGCGATAAATTGTTCGCGGTTCTAAAGGAAGCATTAAACACGACACGTAACTTAGAGGTCACGACGGCATGATGTGGAATGTAATAGGCGTTTTCATTGGGGTAAATATTTTTGATTTCCTCCATATGCCCTTCTGACAGGTACTCACGCATAAAGTCTGAATACTGTGCGTATAAATCCGGGTTTGCGGCAAGTTTGCGTTCTAAGTTGTAAAAACATTTTAAGGCGGGAAAGCGAGAATTATTAAATTGCGGGGCGGTATTTTTAAATGGCAACGTAACACAGTAACGCCCGGCGGTATTGCGAGTATGGGTTTTAGTAAAAGTCGTTTCACAAAGTTTGTCATCATCGGAAATGGCCAAGGTTTTGGGCACCTCTTCAACATGCCAAAACATTTTAAGCGTATTATTTAGTTCGTCATTGGAAATCGTTAAGAAATTGTTGACTTGAGGAGCAGGTAAGCTGCCAATTTTTCCCATGAGAACCCAGCCAAAAATGGTGTTTAACGCGACGGGATGATGTTTAGAACCCTGAACGCGACCTGGTAATAAAATGTATGGGAAAATCTCAGCACCTAACAGCATGTCAATATCTCCGGGAGAACAAAATTGCGGATCAGCGAGTTTTAAATTTGAAATGTGTGGCCAATCTGCCATAATGACCGAAGTTGGCATGTGGTTACAAATTTGCGGTAAAATTATGGCATCAAAGTCTAAATTCGAATTTTTATTATTTGCGGGGCGAATATGACATTCTGCGGAAAGTGTGGCGGAGACATTCATGGAACCTAGGCCTTTAATGGACAACGGCGATTTGGTAGATCGGAGACCGAGTTTAGTTGCGCATGATTGCGTAATTATGTTACACTGACTTGCGGAATCAAGTAAAATGCGGATTTTTTGATATTTATTGCGCGAATCTAATATTTCAGCGACAGCGGTTGCGAGTAAAATAGAGTGCGAAGCGTTAGAATTAGACAAGAGCGTAGCGGAGGTGGATGCGATAGCGTGCGATTGCGAAGATGCGGGATTAGAATTAATATTTTCTGTAAAATGAATAAGCGAGTGGTGTCTCTTGCTACATGTACGGCAAACATTTTCAGATCGGCAAGTAAACAATGTATGTTTCGAACTTAAACAATTGACACACCATTTGCGTGTCTTTATAAGTTCAAACCTATCACGTGGCGTTTTTTCCAAGAATTTGGGACATTTGTAAAGTAAATGATCAACATTGCATAGCGGACATAAATTGGTAGCGACATTGTTTAGGTAGCTATTTGTTTGACGCGGTTTAGAAAAACTATTATTTGGTGGCGGTAAAGATTTAGAAGTTTGCGGGGTTCTTTTAGGCGCAGAGGGAGCGCTGAAGGCAACTGCTTCATAGGCGGTACATTGTTTGGTAAGGAACTCCTCTAGTTCCTCAAAACTAGGGATTGTATCGACACTATCCCCTTGCTCCAGCTCAAAACGTGTGGATGTGGCGGTATCTAAGCGGCTTAACAACATTTGAAATAAAATAAAGTCCCATTTCGCGGTTGGAAATTTTAAATTTTTTAACGCGGCAATGTTTTCTGTAAATGTACTGATAAGTTGGCGGATCGTTTCGGGAGATGAACAATTTTCAGGAATTTTATTTGCGTTTTCAATGGCTCGCCAGTGCGCGGTGGCAAGAATCCGCCTGTTTTCGTATCGTTTTAACAAGGCAGCATAGGCAATCTTGTAGTTGGCCCCAGTTAACGGAAGCTGAGTAACAATAGCCAACGGAGAACCCACTAACGACGCACGAAGGTAGTTAAATTTTTCAACATTACTTAACGAGGCGTTGTCATGAACCATTGCGATAAACATATCAATAAAAGTTTTCCATTCCCGAATTTCGCCTGAAAATTTTGGTAACTCTATGCGCGGAAGCCTTATATGGCTTGATATATTCGGAGTTACATTTGTGTTGGTTTGCGAAGCAAAAGAATCATTAGCGGAGGTGTCCGGTTCGTAATTTGAAAAGACACCCTGTATATAGTAGTACATTTCCTCGAATTCGTTGCAAATTTTATGATGTGATTCTAAGTCTGAACCCGCAGTATTGGCCAAATGAGCGAGAATAATACTATGTTGTTTAAAAAATGTTTGATACAAGGTTTTTACTTGCACATATCTTACTTTAAAACCACGACGTTTAACGTCACTGTCTTCAGCGGATTCGGCTGCTTCAAATATTGATTTCATTCGAATGACAACACTGTTACGCTGTGCAATGGCGGTATTTACTCTAGTAACGGCAACGGTAGCCGTAGCGGTTGTATCTGTCATTTTAAATTAGCTTAAAAAATATTATAATGAAACTAATCGAAGCGATAGCGCAGTTTATTCCCCCCCAAAAAACGAGAAAAATAAACAATATTTTATTACGCGGTATTTATTTTTTATATTGGTATATTTTAAGTAATTTATAAAATATGCGAAAGCGATTAAATTTATATTAAATATAAATTTTATAAAAATGCGGGTAAAAAAAACGAATGTAAACAAATAATGCGGTGATATTTAAATATTCAGCGATTGCAGCCAGGTGCGCTCTGCGAATGAACGAAACAAACTGGCGTAAAGCGATCAAAACAAATTTTGGAAAAATTTATGATTTTCCGTAGACTTCGTAGTACAAATATGTAACGCAAATTGTGGAGTCCAAGCCTTGTCACAATTATTAAATAAGTAATTTCTATTTAATAAATAAACACAACCTTAAATAATAAAATTATTACCTTAAATCAAATTATCAAGGTATTGCAATTTAAATCAGCTGTGAGCGTAAAATAAATTTCAAGGTCAAGGGCCGAACGAATGTCTCGTTCTACGAAATTATGAATGAACAAAATGGCGCTTATTGCCGGAACCCAGGCGAATAATTTAAAAAGATTTTTTAGGTCAACAAACACCCCATCGGCTCAAAAAAAATGTTCGAAGGACCAAAATGGTAGGCAGTGGACTGTATGAATGTGAGAAATAGGGGATGGTGGTGTTAGTTGACTGAATTATGTTACAAGATAAAACGTGGGCAGTAAGAATATTAATAAAGTCCTACCTTGTGGCTGGTTCTGATGACGACACTCAGGGCCCTGGTCTGGTTTCTGGCTGTCAGCGTTGGTTTCAAGCGGTTGAGATGCACAAGCGGGATAAAGCGGGATTAAGCGGGATAAAGCGGGTATAATGTCGCGTGGTAGATCACTCTCGTTCGCGGTGATGCTTACGGGTCGAACTCTTATTAATTAATACACTTACGCCCTCACGCGGTCAAACAGGTAATTAAAATAATTGCAATAAACATGCGCGTTGGGGGGCAATAAGCTAAATATAATATTTAAATAAATGTAATAAAATTAAACAAATATTAAACATTTCGCGAAGACGAAACAATATCAATTTACGAATTTTTTACTTTTATATTCCCACTTTAATGGGTGTGAAATTTCACGAGGGAATTTTAAAAACAAAAAGCATAACATAATTAATTTGTGCTGCATAAATCTACTAAATAATTTTGTTTTACTCAATGTAGCCAATTATAAGTTAAGGGTCCCTAGAATTTGCCAACTAAATACCCAAATTCCGAATAAAAAACATTTAATTGCACTAATTAAATAAATAAAATCTGACATCTCTCAAATGGTTAACCTAAGTTTTTATCAATTTTAAATGTTATTATAGTCGCCTTCTTCCAATTTAAACCCCGATTGGTTAAAATCACAGTGAATATTGAAATCGGCCAATAACTGATGTCTAACAACGTGAATAATGAGTTTATTATTTACGTTGTTAGGCAGGAAATTTAAAATGTTTAACAATATTCACGAAAAAAACCCGAAATTACTGTACATTTATTTAGTTATACCTACTCTGCAGGAATAATGACAAAGTTTAATTGTATTAATTATTAAAAGTAGTTTTTTATATTATCCTAATTTTTGATAAATTTTGTAAAATTTATTTGTTATTTGGTTATATTTGTAATGTGACAAACTTTCTTAAATAAAAAACCAGGACATAACATGCCCCCATCGCCCTTCCAAAAAATAAACAAAACTTATTTATTCGATGTTTTTATATGAATGGATTCCAAGTTAAAAGTGGATTGCATACTTTTTTGGGATTTGAGGTCGACATGGTAAATCAAAATAATTTATGTTAGAAGTCTGCTAAAAATATACAAATGGTGATTATAATATTTAAATTTAATTTAATAAGGGGCAAATAAAATTCAATTAGGTTATCCTACATACCAGTAATTATTAGTATTTATTCCCAGACAATACAAAAACTGTTTTTAAAAAATAAAATGTAAAAAAATTATTTTAAAATAAGTAAAAAAATGTAAAAACATTGTTTTAAAATAAGTACGAAAATGTAAAAACATTATTTTAAAATAAGTAAAAAAATGTAAAAACATTGTTTTAAAATAAGTACGAAAATGTAAACACATTGTTTTAAAATAAGTAACAAAATGTAAAAACTTTATTTTAAAATAAGTACCAAAATGTAAAAACATTGTTTTAAAATATTATATATATATAAATATAAAATATAAATAAATATATAATAAAAAAAGTACAAATCAGGACCAAATCTACAAAACCAGGACAAAACCAGTACAAAATTGAAACCATGACACATTAGCAAAAAGTTTGCGAAGATTTTTATCTGCGGCATGCCGCGGCAGTGCCAGGCAAAATGGTTGTTGACCAGTGTAATTAATAATTCTTACTTACCTTTTTTATCTTGTCGCAATGTGTAAACTATTATCGGGGGTAATTAAACAAGTGCTTAAAAATTATCGATAATTTTGCTTGAAAGCAAATTGCCTAAAAAATGCATGAGTTCATTTTCATATTTTGGAAAGAGCCCGACACCGAAGGTGGAGGGCTCTTCTCTCAAAATATGAAAATGATCGAATGCATTTTTAAAGGGCAATATGCTTGAATGCAAAATTATCTGATTATTTTTATGCACGAGTGTAATTTGTTTAAATAATTATACCAATAAACTAATTAAATCAAAGAAAAACAATTTCAAATATTTTAATTTCAACACAAAACTTCATTTAACAAATACCTAATGTAAACTAAAAAAATTAATAATTATGAAAAATATGACATTTTAAATAACTGTCACATTAAAATAAAAACTGACGTTATTTTTATTAATTGCCATGGATACATAGCTACGTAGCTACGACAATTATCGCTTGTTTACAGCGATAATTGTCTACTAAGAATCGATAATTCCATTGTATCTACGCGTAGATACAATGGAATTATTGATTCCTAGTAGACAATTATCGCTTTAAACAAGCGATAATTGTCTTGTAGGCATATATAAGAGGGTAATTATCAGTATATATACTCATACTCATACGTTCAAAGTTGTGCATCCCGTTTTACTTTGTGTTCGTTGTGCATCCCTTTTGTGGTAAGTGATAAATTATGATAAATTATAATTTATCATAATTTATCACTTACCACAAACGGGATGCACAACGAACACAAAGTAAAACGGGATGCACAACGTTGAACGTATGAAGAATAATACGAAAATAGGCATTAAATGCAAATTTATGTCGCGTGATCGCCGCGTGGCAACAGAACAGGTGGATAGCGCTGTTCTTATTGGACAATTTGTACGCGTTGGCTTGGTGAAAACCGGCAACGTTGCGGGCTAAACAAGAACCGTCTGCTTGGTTTTTACATACACGAGGGATGAATAACGTACTATATATATCTTATGGGCTTTACAACGTACCATAAATAAAGAGATCATTAAATTAACTTATATATTTACCCCTCTTGGTATTTCCTATATTAAATTATGTTAACAAACACTTAGCAAAGATATATACTCGTCTAACCACGTTAGAAATGGTGGGTGGCAGAGCGCCCCAATAGTATCTCGGGCTAAACAACATACCAATTATACGTATATATATATATATATATATATATATATATATATATATATATATATCTACCAATGCTCTAGATTTGCAGTTACTTGGTGAAATCGTTCTCCATGTTTATCAGTTCGGCAAATTTATCAGGATGAAAAAAAAGAAAATGTATTTAAAATGACATATTAACGTTAATTTTTCACAAAACGAAGAGCATTTTTTTAATAAATTGGCGCCAATTTTAGGCCCGATATGAACCAAGAACATTTTCAATGACAGCTTTAACACTGGCATATGCGACAATTAAGCTCGTCAACTTTGAGAGCATTTTTGCTTGATCTTTCATGAAACATCGTATATCAGGTCCATTTAATATTCCTGCAATGAAAGTAGTAGGTATATCTCATAGAAATATTGCTTTGGTTTTTCTTGGGCGTAAAGATACCGCAACAAAAACAATACAAATTTACAACGACGCTACTTCCATTACCACTTCCATTTCCTGCTCTTTTTTCATTATTGGTTCTTAAAATCACTTTTAACTAAAAATACAATTTAAAGTTTAAATTTTAAATGTCAAAAATTAATAGATGCATTTAATGTGCTTGTACGATAAAGTAGATAAAGGCGCCTTTATACTTCAATTTGATATTAAATTTTGATAAGACTTAATAAATAAGATTGGAGATTGAATTTTTGGGTACCTACTTTAGGCATAATGTGAATAAAAAAATATCAAATAATAGTCGAAGAGTAATGTTTATACCGAAACCCATTTGCTTTGTTGCCTTTTCAATTTAATTAAATTAACCACACAAAAATTTTAAAAAATCTCTCTAAAAATGAAGTAGTCAAAAATTATTAATTTAATAGTTATTAGTGGCTGCTTTTTCACTTGTACCATGGTTAACCATGAAATACCATGGCATCCCAAAATTAAACAGCCAATTCTTATGTAAAATAATTTTAATTGTCCCCTGAATCCGAAAATAGCTTCAAAAGTTAAAAAAGTAAAACAGTTTTTAAGATATAGTCAATTTTCCATTTAATATGGAATTGACTATATCTCAAAAACTGCTCCACTTTTATAATTTTTGACGGTGTTTTCGGATTCAGGGGACAATTTTTCATAAGAATTGGCTATTAAATTTTGGGATATCAAGGTATTCCATTGTTAACCATGGTACAAGTGAAAAAGCAGCCACTAATAACTATTAAATTAGTCATTTTTGACTAATTCATTTTTAAAGAGATGATTTTAAGCAAAAATCACTTTTCTGCAGAAAAGTCCTTATTAAATATCCCTTATATAATACTACTATTGTATACGGCTACAATGGAACAAAAATGTTTCTATTTGATATTTATCTACCGATGACTTTGTAGTGATATTTGTGACAAAAAAACGTTAAAATATACTGAACATCCAAAATAGATTTATGGCAAAATAATTTTATAAATAATCAAACAAAAAACATTTTGAGATAATTGGGCAGAGCATTTTATTACGTAATTATTTCGAATTCTAGTCGTTCTGGACCAAAACGAGTGGCATTTTTGAAATCAGCAGCCCAAAATTAGGTACTTAATATAGGTGGGCTTACTCAATGTTAGTAACTGGAACTATCATAGTGAAATTAATTGCTACAAATATTCAAATTTTAAATACATAATTTTGATATTTTTTATTATAAATAAAGGTAATTATTTTATTTAGAAAACAGCGATGAAATATCCTACGGTGTAGTACTTTTATTTTAAAATATCTGTCATACATTTTTAATATATATGGCAGATATTTTCAAATAAAAAGTAATAAAAGTGCACATTTAACGCCAAAAGTGGCTTAGTTTTGTAAATGTTTACGATGGGGCCATAAATTTCAGTAATGCATCTCAAAATATGAAAACACTGTGCAGCGATATGTCCGCTAATTCAGGGCAAAACTGTTCGCTGGGAATTTAAATAAATAGCCCAACCAATTAACTAAAACATGTACATGTAACAACATAAAACAGAATGGCAATTATTCAAAAAGTTTTAACTACCCACTTGTGTACTCCTATTACGCGTATACGAGCTCTAAATTTTACCTAACCTTTTGCGTAAAGTTCGTTTTTAATTAAGACTGTCAAATCATTATCTGGCTGACTCTCCCAGGAACGTATTATTCCAAGGATTATTAATTTCTTAAAATTTTAGTATACTTTACTAATAACAGAGCATAAAATAAGAAAAGTTCTTCTCAATGAAGTATAAAAATAACCCTTTTTTAAGTCTTTATTTCGACTTTTCGGTTCACAATAATATATTTCTTACCTCCGTTTCATGTTCTTCTTAATTATTTAATTTATAAAAAATATAATCAAAAATTTAAAAACTCAAAGTACCCAAGTAAGTAAAAGACTTACACAGTAAAAAAAATCAACTCTAAGCAACACTAATTAGAGTTCACTCAGGTCCACACTAAATAGAGTTGTTTTATAACACTACAATTAGAGTTAATTTGTGGTGTAATTTTACCCAAGTAAGCAAGTATGATTTAACACTATAGCACTGAGGATAAAGTAATTTTACACTGTATTAAAGTGTTAATTTACCTAAAATCGTGTACTTCTACACTTTCTGTGTAAAATCCCATTTTTGTTCAATGTAAATTAACACTACTTTGAAAAAGTTCTAATTTTAGAAAGGTACTTTTACTCTTTTAGTGCAAACTTCTAGTGTAAATTAACACTATTATTTGAGTAAAACCTATTGATGGTAGTGATTAAAACGAAAAGGTAAATAAAGAGAAACATTTATTTGGAACAAAAATCTATGACAATTATCAAAATCGGTGCCTTTTAAAAAATAATTTTATATCTGAGTCGTATGGCTGGCTTAAGCAAAATGGTTCCTTAAAACGTAAAAGTTTTAGATCAATGCAATGTTTTACTGGCTGTCAACTTGTAAGCAATGAATTATCTTCATGAATTCATCAGTAATTCATTTTTCTGTTATAAAAAATGGGTGATCCCATTGGTAGAGAGGCGTCAGGTGGCTGTATTTACCACACGTATGCAAATTTTCCATAATATTAATAAAAATGTAGGTATAGGTTAATATCTAAGGTTAATATAACAAGTACCTGACCTACTGTCGTAAATTATTGATATATTATATAGGTCGGGTATGGACATCCTTTTAACATATTGCTATTTATTGAGTATTAAGGCTTAAAGAAAAAGAAAGTATAATCCTTACCAAAAAATAAGAATGTCCCCTTATGGGTTCACCGTAATTAAAATCTAACTGAACAAAAATGCTACACTTCCACAACGCGGTATCTCCGGATATGCACTGCGTAGGTAGATAGGTACCAACCAAACATTTTAAAACGCATTTCGGTTATTACCAGTTTTTCAGTCTATTTTGCCACTATTGGTGTAATTTAACTTTAATTGTGATACAATGTGCACTAGTATTGTAAAGAAAAAAGAGCTCTTAGTAAAATCAAAACAGACAAAGAAATTGGCATGCACTGTAGTGTACATTTTGTCACTATTTAACACATTAAGGGGTAATAAACACTGTCATTAAGTTTTTCTATCCTTTTGATTGGATTTAATAATAAATAGTGTGAATGTACCAATGAATAATGTTCATATTCTTTAAATGTGTAACCAATTTCTGAAAGTTGCATTGTTCTGCACTATAGTGCGGAAATATTTTTCCGCACTGGCGCAGGAAACAATACATCAACAATTACATACCTACGTCGTTGCTATGAACTTTAGTTTGTTTGTTGATTGTCAGAATAGACGTCAAACTAAAATTAGACTTTTATCCGAGCACATTTTGAGTATAAAATGGAAATATTGAGTATCGGAAGACATTCTTAAAGAAGCCAAAAATATAAACATCGAACTGTTATCAAAAAAATCAAAATTTCGGTATGCTAAAAAGTTTCAAACATTTTGTAAATGGTGCGAAAAAAAAAGTTTTATAAATGCTAGTTTAGTTACGAGTTTTATAAGGGAGGAGCGAAGCTTGCAAGCTAGTTTAACTAATTTAAGATAAGTCAACATCTTTTACTGTTTCTGAGAGTAATAAGTAAATAATTTCTTTAACCGTTTTTAATTCTTGCGGCCAACAACAAATTATTGTTAGCGTTAAATGCATGTAGCCTCCATGGTTAAATGGCCATAAAACAAAAAAAGCTGCAAAAAGTTTACCTTCAAAAAGAAACACAAAAAAGATATTCAATTTTAAAATAATATTAAAAGATATAACAAATATTTATAAAAATAGTAGTGGTAGTCATCCGCTTAACAAATGAGAGAGTCAAGTTCAAACCCCGGCTTGCTCAAAACTTTTTTAAATTTAAATATACTAATTTGACTGTTTCATTCGGTAGAATTTGACTAATTATAATTATTAGTGACTATGGCAATAAGTCAAATATAACTTATAATTAGTCATTTTTGACTAATTTATTTTAAGAGATTGGTGATCTCATCACATTTTTTGCTCCACGTTGATCTTTGAGCGATAGTTGCTTCTTACTACAGCTACAGCTGAAAATCCGGTTTTGCATAAATAGGATGTTGCAAAGGGAATAAGAATCCTTATAGCTTTTGCCCAGATAGCATCATTCGTCCAATGGACGTCCGTTTAAGATCCATTTTAAGTACATTGGTCCACGGACTAAAAATGGATGTACTATGTACGTCCATATATTTACATCCTTTGTACGATTTTAATGGACGTCCATATAGTGTCCATTTTACATCCATAATTATTATTACAGAAATGCAAGTTAAAACGTATTGTTGGCTGCATAACAACAGTTATGATCAATCTCACTGACATTCAAGCAAGCGCGTGCTATAAAGGACTTAAGCTATCAATGAAATGTTACACACTTGTAGTATTGCAAATGTAATGTTCCTGAGTCGAATACAAGGATTTCCTGCAATGTTCAACATTAGAGGTGGGAAGTTTAGTTCACTTTCCTGATTTCGATCTTTCGATCTCGTTCATTAAAGTGAATAGTACAAAAGACTAGTTCGTTTAGTTCACTGATTTATAATCGGATTTGTCGGATTTACGTAGTTTCGTTCGCGAACTACACTTCTCTAGTAGTTCAAGTGAACTATATTGAGATTGATTGATTGATTTGCACCAAAGATGTGTTCTTGGAATTGTTGCTGGTCAAAATGGTACGCTGTTGCCAAGACCATTAAGTGGTTGATTTGGTTGCCTATTTTAGGGACAATTACGAATTTGCGTGAAAAAAAATCCATTAGTGTATACGGATATAATGAAATATATCTACGGATTTTTAGTTTAGTTCGAATTGATTCGCTCTTTTTAGTTTTGGTGATTGAATCTTTTAGTTCAGTTACGAAATTCGATCTTTTGAACTAGTTCGTTCGCGAACTACACACCTCTATTCAACATTGAATGTTGTAACTTTTAACCACTTTTAGAATATTTATATTCCTAGTGGGATTGTTACTGAGCCAGACAAAAGGCATTTCAGTCATGTTGTAGAAAAAACAGTTAAAGTAAGCAAAAAAAGCAGGTCCTGGATGCTGGAGGAATGGTTCAAACACCTTATAGACGTCAATCGGTGGACGACTTATGGATGTCCAAAGTTGTGACATCTGGACTCTAAACGGATGTCCATGGGACGTCCATAGAAAAAAAATGGACATCCTATGTACATACAGACGAGCATACGTCCATAGTATACCTTTGTGCTATCTGGGTGAATATAGAGTTAGATATTCAATTTTGACGGTTATCCAAAACTTCACCAAATCATAACAAGCGTTTTTTTTGTTTTAAGGCTGTTGTCGCAAGAGAGTTTATTGAGATTCTATTCTTTTTGTAAAGTAAATTCTGGTGGAGCTTGATCATGAAAAGGATCTTGAATCCACGACAATTTCTTGACATTTTTTTTCTTAAAGTATTTGTGAAAAGGGACAGCAAGTCTTAAGAGACAACGAGCTCATTATAATAGAGGACACAACTGCAGTTTTCTTCTAATAGTTTCAAGATATGCATGTAATTGCCTTACAGAGACAGATTTAAGGCATTCAATTTGTCAATTATATCGCACAAATATGCCAGTTTTAGTAAAAAGTCTGGTTGGGCAAATTATCCGGAATTTGCGGAAAAGTGTGAATTTCTTAATGTAACTCAAATGCACGGGATAAGACATTTCCACGTTCATGTTCCTCACCTATGTCCTTGCAAAGTTTTTTAAAGAGTCTGACGAGCTAGTTTGTATGTAGTTTAATAAAACGTCTATGATACGTTCCAATACCAAATGCAATTCACAGCTCATCGACTTCGATGCAAGTGCTACCCTATGGATTATCCAATGGGTCTACATAGCATGCGATGCTTTACTGCGAATAAGCGCTTGTAATCCTCCAGCGACCAGACATTCATCGAGCGCCATCAGTAAATACACCGATACACTTTTCCCAATATAAATTATTTTCTTTTATAGAGCCTTTGCGCCTGATGCACCAAAGCTTTTGCAGAAAAGAAGGTCTTCAAAAATAATATTTTAATTCAGAAAGCTTCGTAACAAATAAGGTGCACATATTTATTATTGTCAGTAGCCTTATTAAGTTGCAGACCAGATTCCTTGCCTTTCATTTTCTATATTAATTGATCATTGAGCATTGCTAGGTACTAAAGCAAACCTTTTTTTTGGTTTTTTAACCATGGTACAGTGGCGGCTCCTTGTATAAAGCAACTGAGGCCGGGCCTCACATGTTAAAATTATAATATAATTTGAAATTTTCGATACATTACTTATTTAAATATAAAACGTTTTAAAACTAATTTCCAGTCATTAAAAGTATCAAAACATAGAATAACCATTAAAGTTTAAAATATTTCCTTTAAATTTAGCGCGCACCCCTTCCAACTTTAATTCTAAACGCTTAAATCATTGCCCGACCGCATAATAGGGAAATAGAATTTTTGCAGACATTGAGGCCCACAAAGTTTGGCTTGTACCACAGTATATGGAAGACAGCAGAGTCAGTCCCGAGATCTGTGCGGCTCGCTTATCAGCCGTTGTAAAAGACTGGGCGGGCGTGGAATGTTTTAGTAAACAAAGCTTATTAATTAGATCTATGCGTGTTTATAGTTTCTTATTTCTGTTTAGTCTTTGCCTTAGCGTTAAAATAGAAAGTTGTGATAAAAATGCAAGCGTAAAATACATTATTGTGTTGTGAATTCGTGTACAAATAATTCAAATAATTATAAAAGATCATTTTTATTTTAATATTTTATTATATAAACACACAAATACCCAGTGTTAAATCGTTGAGTTTCATATACCTACCCACTGTGCTGTGTGGTTGTGCCTTTATTAATCTAAAAATAATTATTGTAAGATAGGTAAAAATGAACCTCCTGGGTAATGTGGAAACCTGCTGAAGGAATAAATAAAAATCCCACCTCGTCCCACACTTTTTGTATTATTCTAGCTAAATTTTGAAAATTCTTCTCGTGAAAGAACATATTTTTAAATAATATATTTTATTATTTAGATTCTGAAGTGCTCCATAAACGGGAGACTTTAAAAATTTCAAAAAAAATTGCCTGCGGTGCCATGTAGCGGTTCATGGGCCTCACCTTCATGAATGGTCACGAGCCGCCACTGCCATGGTAGGGTAAATGGTCTTAAGATATCGCTTTAGCTAACTTGAGAGCATACTCTCAGGCGCTAGAACACACTGTGCTATTTATTTGTTTATTTGTGCTATTCATTATTTACTTTTAGTAAAGTAAAGTAATAATACCCTGCATTATCTTTTGTATAATAATAAACTATTATAAAAGATTTATGAAAGAAAATCCAATAGGCTTCCCATATACGCGTTTATAAAGTATTTAAATGTAAAGTTGTAAAAATTTCCATTTTTACTTACTTGAACGAGCTCTCCAAACGTGCCCCCAGCCGCTGTAAAAGTAAGATAGCACAGAAATGGCAGTTGGGAGTCATTAGGCCTCTTTACTTCCAATTCATATGTATGACCGACTCCGCCGTAATATGTTATGTTACATGCTGGAAAACAAAGAAAAATATATGTAGATATAAATAGTATGGTAACATAAATATAAAGTATTATTATTATTCGTATTATAATTTATTTAACACCCTTTTTATTTTTTAACTTTAACCGGTAGCCGAAATTTTACTTTGCCTTCTAGCGGAAAAATGTGAGGTTAAAACTGCTTGACAGCTTTTAGAACTCGGATAAAATATTTTAAAAAATAGCTTTAAATTCCATGTGTGATTTCACTCGCGTGTTACCAAATCTTCCCTTTTTCCCACTAGTCGCACAATATACTACCTATTGTAATATAACAATGTTGTTTTCGAAGGTAGCTATCGTTAACATTGTATAACCAAAAAATTTAAATAAACAATAGCATAAAATCTTTGTTGTATTTCAAGTTAATAAATTTAAAGTTTATACACTGTTCAAAATTTCATGACCATTTTAACACCAAATTAACACCATACATGGTCTATATCGATACAAAACAAAATGGTGTTAAATATGGTTCGTTGGTCCAGTGTAAATTTAAATACTAAAATGGTGTAAATTTAACTTTCACACAGTATTAAAATAAATTTTACCAAATTAAATCATACTACACAGAAAAAAAGGAAAAAAGGAAACAGGAAGTTCATTGACGCATTACAAGTATATTACCAGTGGTATTATTCCAGAAAATTGAACCTTCAACTCGCTAGAGATAATATTTTTAGTGCGTTCCACTAACTTAAAATACTTCAAATATTGACAGCTGTTTCCACCTATTTAAGGCCTCTTTAGTATCGAACAACTTGTAGTGTCACACCAAAGCAAAGGACTACCTGAGCTTATATACTCTTCATGTAAGTCAACAGAGGCGAGATTTAAGAACATCACGTGATCCACACCGCCTTTGCCGCGATCGGTACACACTATGCAACAAGGAATGCACGGCAAATTGTTTTAATCGTTTTAACAGAGTGCTTTAGGTTGAAGTAACTCTTATTATACAAACAACATATTTAGTAAACTGAACCATACAGCGGTTTGGTTTCACTAAAGTTTTCTGGGTTAATTTAACCAATTTAAAAAAAATAAAATAACTATCTGGTTTAGTACCGTCAAACTAATCTTTGTTTATATTAACCTTCCCACAGTTGATTTTAATAAATACTTATGGGTCAACTAAATTAATATAATTAAATGAAATATTCCTTTTTTTCTGTGTAGGTGCACTTCTCAAATATTTTTAGATCAACACCGTTTTGGTGTTTGCTGTATAAAACATTTTCAACCATAATTCATGGTGTTATATTAACACCACTTGGTGTTGGATTTTGACACCATTTTAATATTACTCTTCACACCACAGATATTTTAAACAGTGTAGTTCGGACTATATTGTAACTAGTTTTATAAACGTTATTTAATACATGAGGTTAATTATGCACGAGCGGAGCGAGTTTTTTAATAAATGAGTGATTTTGAGAACTTTATAAAGCGGGTTTAACCTTACGTTTTTCCAAACTGATATCAAACGGTTTTAATTTTACTTATTTTTCCGCACTCGCCATATGTATAAAACTTGTTTAGAATATCTTTATTAGTGTAATTATTATCACCCAAAAGCGGTTTTTTCATATTTTTTCTAATAACTCTGTAAACATTCCTATTAGGTATGCAGCATTTCAATAGAAAACATTATTTTTTGTCGAATGTTGTAAAAAATTGTAGTTTCGTTTGAAATAAGAAAGTTATTGGTATTTAAAGTGACAAAAAAGTCAACGTAAATACCAGACACCCTGTATAAAATTTTCAAATAATATTAATGAATTTAGATAGAGTGCTCCTTAGTTAACTAGGTACCTAGGTACACTATAAATTAACTTTTTAACATTACAATTAGTGGTAATACAGACATATTAGTAAGACCATATTGGACATATTAGTAAGACCATTCACCTGTCAAAATATCTCAAAAACTGTTATAAATAATCAAATTTTAGTAGGTATTTCTAGAATTTTACGTACACGGAGAGAAAAATTTTGCTAAAATAACTATCCAAAGTATTGTTAAATGACGTATCGTGAATTTAGTCAACTGTTTTATTAAACTGAGGATTTGTATGGCTAAATTAGCTATACAGATCCTCAGTTTAATAAAACAGTTGACTAAATTCACGATACGTCATTTAACAATACTTTGGATGGTTATTTTGGCAAAATTTTTCTCTCCGTGTAGAATTTAAAAAATCAATAATATGTATATGGTTCCATTTGAAAAACCGGTTTAACCGGAAGTGATAACTAGAGATGGGATTTTAGTGTTATTACCTATTTGTATACGCCATTCAATAGTTTAGGTGCAATGGAATAAAATCCGTTTTGAAGAAAATGATTTCATTTGAGCCTGATTTTATTCTACCTAAATTTATATTTTCAAGAGAAAGGGACCTAATTTTTACATTTTACTACCTAAACTAGTGTTATTTTACCTATTTCACCTAAATTCCTATTTATTAGAAATGAACCAAATTTTACCATCAAATTGGGGTTGTCGTATTCAGATGACATAACAGCGACGCGAATGTGACGAACAGCGACGCGAATGTGACGTTCCTGTTCAATGTTGCCAAGTCTCATACTTTTGCATGAGATGTTGAAGTTTTTCTTATCAATCTTATGTTATCATGTTTTATTTAAAAATCTGTATTTTTACAAATTCAAGCAAATTTGTGCTTTTAATGAAAAAGTATTTTTTAAAACATTTTAATCATAATGAATGTGAATTTTCAGCAATTGTATGCTTATTATTAACAAAAATATGTTGAATGTGCCGCCGCATTAAAAAAATATAAAATTTATGATGGTATTATAATATAATTGAAGGGCTTATTGGAAAAACGTGACAAGCCACGCTTTTTCAAAAAACAACATTTTTGCTTTGTAGCATTAAGCAATAGTATTACAAGCCACTTAGCAAAGGTTTTTGCATTTCTCTAAAAGATGGCGCTGTTGTTAGTATAATCATCTTATAACATTCTACAAATTGGGGTAAAAAATTACACATAATGTGACAAGCCACACTAAGATGGCCGCCAGCAATGTGAGAGTACCGGATAAAATAATGGATTGTGATGAAAGTACCAGCTGTAGTGACGAGTTTGAAGATTCATGTGATGATAGTGTTGCCGACAAGGACTATGCATTAAGTGACAACGATGAAAGTTCAGAAAACAGTGAAGTATGTATTTTTAAAGTTTTTGTGGCTTGTCATGTTCTTCCAAAAAATATTTATTTTATTTTGAACTGAGGCTTGCCACCCTATTGCAGGTTACTCATATTGCTTATCATTTTATTGCGATATATTTTCAGAGGGAAAATGAACTAGCAAGTTTAGCATCCAAAACGCGGCGATCTACTGAGAAATCATCTGAAAAACCTCCAAAATCTCGTTGGAGACAAAAAAGAGAAGCCAGTTACCAAAGAGTGAAGAGCAAGAGAAGGCGTAATTTGGGTCAGGAATACTTAAGCGTAAAAAGCAAGAATGTCATCAAAGCACGCGAGTTGGGACCCCCTTGTCATTGCAAAAATATGTGTAGAGAAAAATTAGACAACACACATGAAGCTATTTTTAACAAATTTTGGGATTTGGGATCATTCGATTTGCAAAACAGTTATCTTTTTGGCTGCATTCGTATTCATAAAAATAAAAGGTCCTACAAAAAGAAACAAAAACGGCAAGAATTTAGTAGAACCTTTAATGCAGAGTACACTGTTAATATTAACGGCAAAGATGTACAAATATGTAAGGTGGAGTTCATGAGTATACATGGGATCCAAAATTCCCGAGGCCGAATTAACCGTGTGGTTAAAATGAAAGCACAGGGGTCTTCTGTTCCAGAACCGTATAGACGGGGCAAACATGCAAATAGGCCACTTAAACTTACAGATGAACAAAAACAATCAGTTAGAAGACACATTGACTTAATTCCCAAATATCAGAGCCACTACAGTAGGGCTGACAACATGGCCAAAATGTATCTTAACTGCGACATGACAATAGCACATTTGTACAAAAAATTTTATGTTCCGTGGTGTGAAGAGCAAAATATTGTTCCAGTAAAAGAATACGCCTATCGCAAAATTTTTTGCACGGAATATAATATCGGCTTTAAGTTGCCAAAATCAGATACCTGCAAAACTTGTGATGAAACTAGCATCAAATTAGAGACCGCTATAAGGAACAATGACGATGAACAACGTACAATATTGTCAACAACCCTAAACCTACATAAGTCAAGAGCTAAGGCAATGCAAGATCTATTAAAATCTGAAAAAGAACTCTCAAGGCTTAAAGGTTCTAAAAAACTGGTGATTTCTTTTGATTTACAGCAGGCAATGCCCATACCAAAGTTGACAACCGGACCTGCTTTTTACTGCCGAAAAATATGGTTGTATAATCTAGGGATCCATGATTGTACCGCCGAGCAGGGGTACATGTACTTATGGAGTGAGGATAAAGCTAAGAGAGGGGCTGACGAAATAGCCTCTGTACTGCTAAAATTTCTTAATAATTTGGAAAATAATAATGTGGAAGATCTTGTTGTTTTCACAGACAACTGCCCTGAGCAAAATAAAAATTGGCTACTTACGTCATTATGGTTACAGTTGGTCAAGGAAAACCGGTTTAAATCCATAACACATCATTTTTTAATTAGCGGTCACACCCATTTGCCATCCGACAGGGATTTCGCTCTAATAGAAAAAAGACATAGAAAATATGCACCGGTGATTTATTCACCCGAAGGATGGTACTCAGTGGTTAGGGAAGCCAACAGCAAAAGCCCATTCATTGTCACGGTAATGGAACCAGACGACTTCTTTAACTTCGATCCAATATTAGCCAACATTAAGAAGAATACCCAAACTATTGAAGGGGGAAATATGAACTTTTCTGGTGTATATTCTTTTTTATTTAAAGCTGAAAATACAAAATCAATTTTTGTCAAGCACACAGTTAATGGAGAATATACTGAGGTGAGCATCACAAAAAAAAAAGACCTACATTTTCTTCGATTAACAGACTAAGTGTCAAATACAATGAACCCGTAAAAATTTCAATAAAAAAAATTCAAAATGTACAATCATTGTTACCGTATATTCCACCAATATACCATTTCTTTTATAATAACTTAATAGCCAGACCAGTTACGGAAATGGAGGATTTAGCAGAACTTATAGATTAATAAAAAATATTTGTTACTTTTTAGAATAGGTTGTTGGTATTTTGTTTTTTATATGTGAAAGTTTCTTAATCTTTCTCAATAAAATTTCAGTTAATTAAATAAAATTTTCGTTTATTAATATTATAATAAATATTATGTTGTTTTATTTTGCAAACAAAAAATATTATAATTCAGAATGTATTAAGGTGACAAGCCACGTTTTTTTCACAATATATATATTTTTTCAGTATAATGTTGTTTTATTTATTATTATTATACTACTCAAGTTAGCTCCTAAACTACTATATATAAAAAAAGTACTTTGAAACAAAAATAATTAATAGAAGATTTTTGAGATTTGTTTAAAACTTAAATCTCTGTTTTCTAAACAAATTAATTTTGTGGCTTGTCAAGTTTTTCCACTAAGCCCTTCAATTATAAAATTCTTGTTCAACACAATTTTATACAATAATAAATTAATAGTATATTATGTATCAAGTTTGATAAACGCCATTTTATACACGAATTTAATTTAGGCACGAGCGAGCTTGCGAGCGAGTGCTTAACTTAATGAGTGTGTAGAAAAGTTTATAAACAAGGTGCATACTATACTTTTTTTTACGACAAATACTTATTATTTTCCTAAAATGATTTAAATCAAAAATTTGTATAGAGCGCCATCTATGAAACAATAGGGGAATCTGTGTGTCACCGTCAAATGTCAAATAAAAATTATAAACACAGATTATAAAGGTTATAAATCGAAATGTATTTCTTGAAAATTGACAGTTTTTCACAGTGAAAGTAAAGAGAATGTTTTATGAGGACTTTACAGTGGAGTTCGTGCCCGAATTTAAGTTATAGTTTACTGCCGGCGAAATTAAAAGGTTAGTACAATGTTCATATAAACATTTCAAATATTGGCGTTGAGAAACTATTTAATACTTTTGTATTTTTGTATTGAGATAATAAAATAATTTTCACATTAAGTATTAACTTCAGCTTGTGACTAAAAACCTGTTGCTAACTTCAGCCCGTGACTAAAGCGCCATAAAGCCACAACTTGTCAATGTGTATTTAAAAGGTCACTTAGTGTCATGGAAACATGTACGATAAAGGGCGTTTTAAAGGTGGGAGTAGAAAAAATATTTTAAAACCTAAAAGTTGCTTTTCAGTACTTATTTTCGTAAAGTACCTACCTAATTTAAGAATTTTTTCACTTAAAACAAGAAAAAACGTTATCTATTTTTATAAATTTTGCAACCTAAAATCCCATCTCTATTGATAACGCAATGCAAATAATTTAAAAAAATAGTTTACATTGGCTTATAATTGCTATACAAATTTCAAAACGATATATTTTTCCGTTCTCCATAAACTTCTAATGAATAAGTTAGGTGTACCATGTGTACATATTTACAATTTATTTTAGATAAATTTCAAATGAGCCTTTGTAGCAAGATGAATTAAAATACTTACGTGAACAATAGGCTTTTTCATCGGAATTATCTGAGCAATCCTGTATACCATTACAATATTTATTTATACTAATACATTCTCCGTTTTGGCATTGGTATTCTGATTTTTGACATTCTAGGGTATATGTTGATTGACAGAACCAAAATATTAGAAATATTTTTAGTTCATACCTAAAATTCACGATATAAATTTTTACGTTATTTTGTATATAAAAACTTACATGTTTGCTTGGTTTATTCTTATGTCCCACTTTTTATATTTTCACATTGTTCATTGATAATTTGCACAAAACAAAATGTAACGCCAAGTTGGCTACGACGTAGAGTACGTAAACACCGGAGTTGGCGGCGCAAGCTTTTCACCGGGTGAAAACAAGTGAGTTCGAGCTTTGTTGAGAGCTTCGTAAGAACTACGCATGACAGCGCGCGCAAATCCTGAAAATTCGATCGAAGTGTGCCGTTTCAAGCCGCTTTTTCCTATCAAATGTTCAATGATTTAATGTAGTTCTGGCTGCCGCTAAATTGTTGATTTTAAATATGTAGGTATTATTTGACTATTTTTCTTTAATATTATATTATTAACCATTTTTTATTATAGAAAAATAAAACAAAACCATTTTATCGTAAGAAAATTTTATTCGTGGATACTTTTTTGTTTTATATTAAATATTGTTATATACCTACCTACAATATTTTTTACAAAAATGGCGGATGCGCCGGGATTAAAAATGTAAAGAGAAATCATACTAAATAAGGCTATAAGAATAGTAAAAAGTTAAAACAAATAAATACCTAAATAAATTTAGATTTTTAAATAAAAATTCAAATTCAAATTGATAATTAATAAATAATTAATAGATAATTTCATCATATTAATAAGGAATCTTATCAAATGAGATATGTTTAATGCTTTGTATTTGATATTATTTATGAATAAAATAAATAAAATTTACTTTTAATTTAAATAATTTTACCTAACAATCCAAAGTTATCGCTTTAAACCTTTTCTGAATTTTAGAACTTCTCCAATAGATGGAGCTACAATATCAATATAATTTTGTAAAACATGTTAGGTAGGCCTAATTTTGATTTTGTAAATCTTTAGGTATATAAATCCTAGAAAATGCTTCTACTTTTTTATGATATTCTGCTTTTTTATTCTAATTTTACATGCATTTTTAGAAATGTTGTTCTTGCAGTCAAAAATGCTTCAGGAAAATTTTTGATTTTAAAGTATTGTGTCAACATAAACTATATATTTTGTATAATTTTGACAGCATTTGTTTAACGTTTATAATATTTTTTTTTCAAACGTATAATTATTTAATAATTATAACAATAATAATTCTTTATGAAAAGTAGTGTTTTAAAATTTCCGGAAAAATTAACCCGGCGAAAAATCCCAGTTTTTTTTCTGAAAAAACTAAAAAAAAACGTCAAAATCGTGAAATTATAAAAAATTTACACGCATTTTTTCCGTATAAGCCGTACTTTTTTATTCTAAATTTTCATGCATTTTTGGAAATGTTGTTCTTGCAGTCAAAAATGCACCAGGAAAATGTTTGATTTTAAAGTATTGTGTCAACACAAACTATATATTTTGTATAATTTTGACAGCATTTGTTTAACTTTTATAATATTTTTTTTTCAAACGTATAATTATTTAATAATTATAACAATCATAAGTCTATATGAAAAGTAGTGTTTTAAAAGTTCCGAAAAAAAACTAAAAAAACTAAAAAAAACGTAAAAATCGTGAAATTATAAAAAATTGACACGAATTTTTTCCGTATAAGCCGTACTATAAATTAATTTTTTTTTTCGATTTTTCCAATTTACAGAAAAAATTACTTTAGCATGTATTCTCTACTACGGATACTACGGATAAAACGAAACAAAGTCAATTTTCCTGCAAATATCCGTTTAAAAAGCTAGTAGTGTTTTAAATACGCTAAAGGTACTTAAAAAAAATAGTTTTTTTGAAAAAATTTAATTTAAAAAAGTTATATACCTCTTTACTAAGTAAAAAGCATTTACTCGTAAATAACATTAATTAATTTTTTAAAAAGTGTGTATTTTTGTTTAATATTATATTATTAACCTTTTTTTATTATAGAAAAATAAAACAAAACCATTTTCTCATAAGGAAATTTAATTCGTGGATGCTTTTTTGTTTTATATTTTATATACCTACAATATTTAACCGTTCAATTTTTAACAAAAATGGCGGATGCGCCGGTGTTAAAAATGTAAATTAAATACATAAGAGAAATCATACTAAATACGGAAATAAAAATAGTAAAAAGTTAAAACAAATAAATACCTAAATACATTTACATTTTTAAATTATAATTCAAATTCAAATTGATAATTAATAAATAATTAATAGATAATTTCATCAAAGTAATCTTACAAATGAGTTATGTTTAATGCTTTATATTTGATATTATTTATGAACAAAATAAATAAAATATAATTTTCCATATCTATGGTTTATTTTTGAATTGCTCAGGAAAAAACAAAATTTACTTTTATTTTAAATAATTTTTCCTTACATTTCAAAGATATCCTTTAATGAATTTTAGAACTTCTCCAATAGATGGAGCTACAATATCAATATAATTTTGTAAAACATGTTAGGTAGGTACCTTAATTTTGATTTTGTAAATGTTTGGGTTTATAAATCCTAGAAAACGCTTCTACTGTTTTATAATATTCTGCTTTTTTATTCATGCATTTTTGGAAATGTTCTTGCAGTCAAAAATGCACCAGGTAAATTTTTGATTTTAAAGTATTGTGTCAACATAAACTATTTTGTATAATTTTTTTATTATAGAAAAATAAAACAAAAAAATTTTCTCGGAAGAAAATTTTATTCGTAAATGCTTTTTTGTTTTATATTTTATATAGGTACCTACAATATTTAACCGTTCAATTTTTAACAAAAATAGCGAATGCGCCGGTGTTAAAAATGTAAATTAAATACATAAGAGAAATCATACCAAATAAGGAAATAAAAATAGTAAAAAGTTAAAACAAAAAAATACCTAAATAAATTTAGATTTTTAAATTATAATTCATTTGAATTATAATTTAAAAATCTAAATTTATTTAGGTATTTATTTGTTTTAACTTTTTACTATTTTTATTTCCTTATTTGGTATGATTTCTCTTATGTACATATTTATGAATTCAAATTCGAATTGATAATTAATAAATAATTAATACATAGTTTCATCAAATTTATAAGTAATCTTACAAATGAGATATGTTTAACGCTTTGTATTTGATATTATTTATGAATAAAATAAATAAAATATAATTTTCCACATCT